GAGCGGCAAAGTTGGGCGGGTAATATCGATCCGAGTGTGATTAAACTCATGGTGTGAAGCGCGACATTCGTAGGTCAAGTAGGTGGAGCGTTGGCTTGCGTAAAAGGCCTCCCTCCTATGCAGGTTCGAATCCTGCCGAATGCCGCGAGCTTTTTCACAATTGGGTCAACGTAATTAGATAATCGTTTTGACACACCCAAAACCCGGCTACTGTGCCGTGATAATGGTCGAGCAGAAAGCCTTACTTTCAATGCCTGGCGCGATCACGGGGGAAGGGTTAGAGGTTAATGCTGGAGCAACCTTGTTAGCCCTCATTTATCGGGGCACTGGGTGAGACCCCACTGCAAGATCGCAATTAGCAGCCTTGTCTAGCTGTCACGAATAATTATCTCACTGTCGTCAAGATGGAGGCGGTTTGAGTAAGTTCGGATGGAGAAAGATACGCAAGTTGAGCAAGTTGGCAAAGCACATCTACTATTTCGAATTTGCTTAATTGCAAAAAATAAGTAATCGACGAACCGGCTGAAACCCGATAAACTGTAGATTAGCATTTGGACTACCTTGATCATTGCGTAATTGACTTATATACTGAACCTGATTCACGGAAATGGATGCTTTCATCGAAAGAGCAGGAGGATATTCTGATAAAATATCAGTGAATATACAAGCCCTACAAAGCAGTTGGTAGACGAAATTGTTGGAACGAAAACTTCATTTGTGTAACGCTTTCGGTTCATGCTCGAACACAGCGTTGGAGAGAAAGAGAACACCAGACATGCGCAAATTATGTGTAAATATCTGCAGAATTTACAGGATGCAATTGTCTTGCTACGCCATGTACCTATGATGATTTTCTCCTCCGCAGCTCACCGAGAACAGTTGTCTGACATTTGCTTGATGGTCGATATTCGATGTACTAAGACCTGTTGGATGGTTGCGTGTTGACTGTTCATCCATCTGGCTCGCCCACAATGCAACTCTTTGTGCATGAATAGCCCGGCTCAGATGCTGTGCCTGATTATGGGTTATAGCATCGATCCGAAACGTTGTTGAATAAATTTCTTTTTCCAGCGACCGCGTCTAGTTCTTCTGAACTCATTCATCCATCTACGAGCATTGTCTTAGTGAGGTGAAGTAAAACAAAATACGGTTCTTGCGCACTTAACATGTTCTTCTTCTTCTGCGTAAATTAAATGATGCACGAATAGGAATAATCAGGTAATTCTTAAGATACCAGGCACCTTTAAACTTGAGGTAATAAAGGAACCTGACGAGGCATGTAAAGAATCTCGGAGCGGATCCACAATTGAGCGTCGGCTGGACCAGTATTTTTGCAAAAGTATGTCAGAAACAAGTTTATGCTCCTCAGGAAGGACACTTTGCAGATTTTCAATTAACTGCTCAACTCAATCATCCTAGATACACAAGAAGCTGTAGAAAATTAAAAGGGAAACAGTTACCCTTTCTTAACGTGTTCCTCAAACGGCAAATTCGAGACGGTAAATAGCATGAGGACAACAACCACTACGCGCCTTCCCAGTTCTCACAGCAACCATCGGATGACTCGATTGAAGCGGTGATGACGGTATTCCCTTGGGTCCGGACACGCTACAGCAACCTGTGAGGCTCCATATATCCGCTATCAGCTTCTGTGAAATGTCTACTCGAAGGCGTTTATAAACTCATGCGTGCGTGTTCGCTCGCATGGGACGTAATTAGAAATAGCACCTGTGCCATGGCATGCTATGCCAAACATAAAAGGGTGATTAGTTGTAGGGTTTGCTTCTATCCAACGCTACCCTGTACCACAGTGTCCAGAAAAGTAAGAATATATTAAAGCCCAACTATAATTTATCACATACTACGCCTAAACTATCCTTGTAATTAGATTTTCAGACTGACTGCATAAGGTGGCTGTGCAATCGACTGACTAGTTAGCACAGTTAACTTTCCAGGCTTTCAAGATTGGTCACTAGTCTAACGTCTCAGCCAACAGGATAATCGCACAACCCGGAAACAATCTGGTCGAAATTGATTAAAAATCGAGCCTCCGACGAGAATTCAGGCGTTAGATAACGCCGAAATACCGAACCTTATGCTGTCAGCTTCAAACTTCATTCGCGTATCTTTGATTAGGTAAGAGTGTGAAAACTGAAAGAAGTAGACAAATTTATTTGTATTCCACCTTCTATACTCCGAAATGGAATTCTTGGTGCATTATTCGATTGCAAGTAACTTCTGGGCAACGTTGTAGTTCAGTACTCCTAAAATACAAAGGCATGTTTTAGACCGGGCTATTTCTGCTAAACTTGTGTTATCCAAAATTACAGTCAGCCATTTGGAATCCAAACAGAATGCACATGGTTCATATGGAGACAGTTTTCAAAGCCAACCTCATTTT